GTAAGGAATAAAGGTGACTTTGTGGAATGCTATTTGCCAAGGTCTGTGCTGGTGGTATACTTTTTTTTTTTTTTTGCAAACCTGGCACAGAGACAAGATATAATAATACAAATATCCAACATTGACGTGCCAGGCACTGCTCTAAGCACTGTATAAGATTGAGCAATGGTGGGAGATTTCAATTATTCAAACAGCTGTAAGTTTAATTTTGCTATAAGTCTAGCATCAGCAAAATTCCTGATATGTCTCACTGACTCATCTCCAGCATAGGATCTGGTTTCTGGCTGCCTGCGTTTGCAGCCTAGCTCTGCCATCTTGTAGCGTGGCAAGTTATATACCCTTGAGTAAGTACCTTAGCCCTCTGCGAGACCGTGTCCATTGGGGGTAGCAATGGTGCCTCCCTCATTGTGTTCATGTGAGGTTCCCAAGAGATAATGTGGGTGAATCCTAACACAGTGCCCAAGGAAGCTCTCACCAAGCAAGAGTTGCTAATATTGTTATTATTATTATTACCTCTCAGAAGACAGGGGGATGTTTTCAGAGATATTTTGACCATCATTGAGTAAATTGAGGTGATGTGGAAGTAACTACAACCAAGAGGAGAAGTGACTGTTCATCTAGAAAGTGTTATAAGGATAAGGGAAAGTGCGTCCCAGTGGGGCTCTAGCCTAAATCCCTAATTAGGAATATGTGTATGAAGGATGGAAGTGTGGAAGACATTCCAAAATGAATTTCTAACACATCAATCACATAGAGAAGAAAAGAGAAAGGAGTTTGGTTTTTGAGTTTAAATCACTGACAGCAGCAGGGAGAGCTGGTTGAGCCCATGCTTTAAGGAGAGTGTGCACACACACGCAAAGGCAGGGATCGGCATGCAACCAGGTGTGAATACACAAAAGCGACTCAGGGCCGGGCGCAGTGGGTCACGACTGTAATCCTAGCACTTTGGGAGGCCAAGGTGGACAGATTGTTTGAGCTCAGGAGTTTGAGACCAGCCTGAGCAAGAGCGAGACCCCGTCTCTACTAAAAATAGAAAGGAATTAGATGGACAACTAAAAATATATAGAAAAAATTAGTCGGGCATGGTGGCGCATGCCTGTACTCCCAGCTACTCGGGAGGCTGAGGCAGGAGGATCACTTGAGCCCAGGAGTCTGAGGTTGCTGTGAGCTAGGCTGACGCCACGGCACTCTACTCAGGGCAGTAGAGTGAGACTCTGTCTCAAAAAAAAAAGCGACTCAGACCTTAAAGGTCTTCAGGCTTCAGGCAAACCGAAAGCCAAGTAGAATGTTAGACAATGTTTGAGGCCGAGAAAAAAAAAAATGAAAAGCATAGTTCAATAGGATTTTGCCATTCTGGATGAGTTTTTACCTTTTTCAGAGAAAGTGGCCCTAAACTAAAAATGGAAGAACAGATGTTAGAGGTGGCTACCAGAGCCCAGGGTAGATCAATGGAGAACTAACTGGCCTTGGAAAACACAAATGTATTTGAATCCAAGTTGCTGGACAAGCCTGTAGATGTCATTCAGGGGCCACCTGGACAAATCTAGAAAACCGAGTAGGTTCTATCCAGTGAGAGGCAAACAGACAAATGTTACCACAGTTTCCAAAAAATGAGAGTAGGGCATATTCTGAAGAGCACAGACTAATATACTTTATTCTGATCCCTGGCAAGATTCTAGAACAGATTATTAACCAAGTATTTGTCATCTACATACAGATACTGGTGACTTAATATGAATTCTCTTATTCCTTTTCTGATAGAGATTATAGGTAGGGTGGTCATTTGGGAAATGCTATTTGATCTCAGCACAAGGTCTTATGTTTTAGCAGAAAGAACACAGGATTGAGGTCTGGAGATGAGGATACGTATTAGCTCCACCATTAATACATCAGTTGGATGACCACAGGGAAGTTTCTTAATCTCACAGGGCCTCATTTATGAAAGATAGGGCATATTCTCTCAGGTTCCTCTCATCTCTAACTTCTGTGAGTCTGCCTTGTAATGAAAAGTGGGCTGGGTGAGAGGACAGCCCAGAAGACGCAGGCTTGATAAAGCAGCCACACCCCAAGGGGTGTTAATGCACCACGTTTGGGGTATTAAACTGACCAAGGGGAGGACTCAGTCACTGTTGCTGCCCTGTATACACACATATTAATGACTTAATCCTCAAACAATGGGAGAGCTATGACAAAGGGTCACAGAATAAAGATTTGAAATAAGCTGGGTGGACTGGAGGATGCCTGGGCTGAAAGCCAAATGAAATTAATTAACATAAATGTAAAGTCTTGTGTTTGTTTTTTAAAACCCTACGCAAGTTCAGGATAGGGAAGAGCTGGCTGAGAAATAGATCATGGGGTGAAGGTTCAGTACCTGAGACCACCACCTACTCAAGCTGAAGTGATGCTGTCGTCTGGCTGCTAACAAAAGGGCTAGTGCCACTTTGGTCATATTGACAACAAGGAGAATGATGATGGGTAACGTGTATGGAGCTCTTACATGGGCCTTGCACATTATCTCATTTCTGGGGCATGAGAGTGTTATCAAATTCCAGCCTCAGGAAGTGCTGGTGTTGTTGCCATCTGCCCCATCAGATCCTGTTGTTGATACTGTTTTCAACGCTGGGGACCTTACCAATAGGAGGGTAACCAACTGGAGTGTGTGCAAAACAGGGCAGCCAGGATGGGAAAAGGTCTGAAAACTAAGTCCCACAGGAGAGGGTTAAGGAAGTTGACAGTGCTCAATCCAGAGGAGCACAACCAGTGGTGGGACAGGGAGGAGAGAGAAAGACTTAAGCTCTCTTTGGATCCCTAGAAACAGAAAGAAAAAAAAAAGGATTTAGGCTCTGATTGGCTGCCGTCAAATCTGTGCACTTCCACTCGTAAGATGTGTGCCTTTGGGCAAGTTGCATAACTTTATCTGTGCCTCAGTTCCCCCAAATGTAATTAACTGACTATTATGAAGACAATAAATGAGACATGTATAAAATCTTATGTGGTGGGCGGCAATGCTTAATACAAATGCATGATAGTAAATGAGGATGATTATAGTGGATCCTGTGGGCTGGCCCCATGAAGAGAAAGGAGGGTCATTCTGTCTGGTTTCAGAAGAGAGAATAGGACCAATGGGTGGAAGCAAGAAGAAGACAGAATCTGGGTCAACATAAAGAGACCTTTCAAATTACCAGAACTTCCCAATGAAAAAGTGAGTTCCCAGTTACCAGAGAAACTCACTCTATTCCATCTTGTAATCGGGAAAACAAGTCATAGAGATAAGATAGCATAAGTTAAGAACGTCAAAGAAAGCAGGAGTCAATATGAATGACCACAAGCCCTACTTTTCTATTCCTCCACTGCTGAGAAATCTCTGGAAGTTTAGGTTTGTAGGTAACCTTGAGGACAGTGAATTTTTTTTTTTAGACAGGGTCTTGCTCTATTGCCCAGGCTAGAGTGCAATGGGGTCATCATAGCTCACTATAACCTCAAACTCCTGGACTCGAGCAATCCTCCTGCCTCAGCCTCCCAAGTAGCTGGGACTACAGGTGTGTGCTTCCATATCCAGCTAATTTTTCTATTTTTTTGTGGTGACGGGGTCTTGCTCTCGCTCAAGCTGATCTCAAACTCCTGGCCTCAAACAATCCTCCTGCCTCAGCTTCCCAAAGGGCTAGGATTACAGGTGTGAGCCACCGCACTCAGCCCACAGTGGGTTTTTATGTTGTATGCCTTTGATTTTTTCTTTCTCATAATAAGCAAGATAAAGAGCATGGACTTTGTAGTCAAATCTCCCAAATTCGAATCCCTGCTCTGTTATTTGTCTGCTGTGTAGTCTTGGATAACTGAGCTCACCTCTTGGGTCTGGTTTTCTTCTTCTGTAAATGAAGTAAACTACCTATAATCCTGAGGAATGAGGATCAGAACTCATATATTTCTTGCTGTGTTGTAAGCATTATGCCAAAGTGAGCTGACTTTTTGAGACATAAAAATCCAAGTCTCAAACAATGGTGATATAGCACCTCTTGTATACTCCTGGATAGAGCTGGAACACATTCTACTAAGTGAGGTATCCCAAGAATGGAAAGACAAGCACCACATGTACTCACCATCAAATTGGTATTAACTGATCAACACCTAAGTGCACATATAAGAATAACATCTATTGGATGTCGGGCAGGGAGGAGGGGGTAGGGGGTAGGGGGAAGGAGGGGACAGGTATATGCATACACAAAGAGTGCAATGCGCACCACCTGAAGGATGGACATATTTGAAACTCGGACTTGGGGGGAGGGGGGCAAGGGCAACATACGTAACCTAAACATCTGTACCCCCATAATATGCTGAAATAAAAAAAAAATCCAAGTCTCTGTCCTTTTGTACCTGGTAGGGGATGTGGGTGGCAGAGGTTGGATAAAGAGACTCTGCCACCTCAGCAAGCACTCATGCCAAAATTGCACTTACGATACAGATACAAGAGACAGGCAAATTCTGAAAGCCTTCCAAATCTTAGAGTCTTGTACTTCTCCCAGGAGGGATAAAATGAGAAGAGGGTAAAATGAAAATTTTCTGTCATTTCTTGAGAATCTACTACGTGTTAGATTCTGAATTCAATGTCCCATTAAATCTTCACAATGGTTAGGAAGGGGCAGAATTGATGATGATGAGGTTGGACTGGAGAACAGTTTTGCAGTTGATTTAGGGACCATCCCTAAAGCACTTCTAGACCTAAAGATGATCCCTGGAGCCTTGTGCTGTCTTCCCCAGAGCTGACCAGGACTGGACCTCCCCATCTCGCCACAGCGGTCAAAGCATTAACCCTGAACAGCCTGGCCCAAGATTCAGCTTATGATGGTGTGGCAAGGTTGAGGACCTGTCATGTCCTTTAAGAGAGCCCCCACCACACACACACACACACACACACATACACACACACACACACACACACACAGCACCTTGGGTTATGGTACACCGAGGACACTAACAGATGGCCTTTTCTCTCTGTCCCCCAGTGCGACGGGGTTGGGGTGGACCTGAGCAACATCTTCCTGGAAGGCATTGCCATTCTCAACATTCCCAGCATGTATGGAGGCACCAATCTCTGGGGAGAAACCAAGAAGAGTCGGGCTGTAATCCGGGAAAGCAGAAAGGGCATCACTGACCCCAAGGAACTAAAATTCTGTGTCCAAGGTAAGCTAAGCACAAGGATAATTGCTCTAGACAGTGTCCAGTGGTAGGGGCCTTCAGGTGGGTCTGTCAGCAAACTGTTTCAGGGCCTACACTGGGCTCCACAGGGACCTCCAGCCACCAAGGAACCGTGCTCTGGGGAGATGCTGATCCATCGTCCTTGATGTTGCAAAGTCCACAGCCTAATTGAGAAGACAAAATTCACAATTGTGGGGTCCTAAATGATAGTCAGTAGTCAAACTTTGGAGTTCCATGAGGTTAGGAGTCAAATGCTGCTCCTGTCAAGGTTACCAGTGTTCTCCAATAGCTAAATCCAATAACCAATTCTCAACCCTCATCTCGCTTCAGCTGTCAGTGGCATTTTCACCCAATTGGTCACTCCTTCTTCCTAGAAACACTTGGTCCACTTAGCTTCTAGGACTCACTCCTGGTTTTCTTCCTGCCTCACTGGTCGCTCCTCCTCAATCTCTTTTCTCTCTGACCTCTTCATACTGGAGGGGCCCCCAGCAGGATCCTTGGCCCTCCTCTCTTCTCTGTCTGTCCTCATTTCTTTGATAACCTCACCCAGTTGTAGGATTTTATTTAAATACCACATGTGTGCTCATGATGCCTTGAGACCGGTGTCCCGCTTTCCCTGAGCTCCAGGCCTGTGTGTCCAGCAGCCTGTACCGCACTTCCCTCGTATGTTCAGCAGACACCTCAAACTCAGCTTCCCAACACTGAGTTCCCACTGTCCCTCCCTAAACCTCTCCACCACAGCTTTCTCCATCTCAGTTGACAATGCCAGCCTTCCCGTCACTTGAGCCAGAACACTTGGCACCACACTTGACTCCTCTTTTTATCTCAAGCTCACATCCAGTCCATCAGAAAATCTGTGAGCTCTACCATTAAAGGGTATCCAGGATCCAAGCACTTCTCGCCACCTGCATTCCCACCAGCTCGTCTGAGCTGCCTTCCTCTGTCCCCCGTATTCCTGCACGTCCCTCTCACTGGATTCCCTGCTTCTACCCCTGCCCTATCAAGTCTGTTCTCACCACCACATCAGAGTACCCCTGTGAAAATATATCAGATTATGACAGCCTCCTCAAAATCCTACAGTGGCTCAGGGTAAAAGGCAAAGATCTTCACGCAGCCTGGAAAGCCCCGTCTAGTCTGGCCTCCCATGACCTCCCAGACCTCATTTTCTGCTCCTCTCCCCTCCACTCACTCTGCCTCCACTGTGCTGGCTCCTCTAGTGCAGCAGGCTGCTTCCATGAACCGACTATTCTTTCTGTCTGGAACAACTGCATAGTCCCCTTTAGAGGCCATCCGCTTGGCCTTCTGGTTTTGACCCACCAGAATACAGAACACAGCTCTCTGGGAGTATCCTTAAAGCTACCTTCACCCGACCCCTTACCAGCCACTTCCACCGATGATCCATGTGGAGATTCACTCAAAGCTCCAGGCAGCTGATTCTCCTGTGAACCGGATGACCCTCACAGGTCCCCAACACACTGGTGAGCAGGGCCGGGAGAGCCATGTGCAAGAGCATTGGCACCAGCAGGCAAGGATCCAGGTTCCAGTCCAAAGGCTGCTATTAACCTATTTTTTTGGAGCCTCAGTTTTCTTTGCCTCTCACATAAAAGTTTTGATAGCTAGACAGATGATGTTGAATCAGATCATTAGTTCTTAAACCAGGTCTGCTTGTTGAAAATGAAGATTCCTGGACACCAGCCCAGATCCACCTAATCAAAGTCTGGATTGGTTCCTGGGAATCTAAATTTGTAATGAGCTCCCCAGATGACTCTGATGGGCTGCCAGGTTTGAGAACCCCTGATATAGACAAATGCCCACAGTCTCTTCCAGGCCTAGCATTCTGTGGATCTGGGTCTGTGTTGTTTGATGACCCGGGCTGTTAGTGCTAAGGTTGGATATGATCCTACCAGTAGAAGGAGACAAAACCTGGCTGACTGCCAGAGGCAAGGGTTACTTGCTTGTTTCATACCGGTCTATTAGAGAATCAGACTGTTAGATACCAGGGCCATGCCATCAAAAAACATCATCTCCACACCTCCATCCTTTAAGAGAGGACTTGGGAATTTTTATTTCTCCATTGCCCTTTTAAGTCCCCTTTCTTTCACACAGTAAACTTTTCAATGTATAAATTATTAAACTGAATAATGTGTTCCTCCTTCCTCCCTTGGCAGGGGAAGTTGTGGGTGCTGGCAGAGGGTGGGGGAAGTATGGAAGATTGTATAAAGTTCCTGCAAATTTTCCCACCCTGGTGCTCCTGCCTCAACCCTCAAGCCGACCTCCAGCACTGTCAGAACAGAAAAGGGAATCAGCAGGGAAGGGAAGCCCTGCCCTGGGGCATGGGGAAGCTCTCGATGAGATTATATTCTAGTTAGGACTCAAGGACAACCTTTGTTTGTCTCTGAAATGTCTGACCTTGTATCTTCCCCTTCTTCAAGCAAGAGTATAGTATCTGCTGATGCCTCTTGGCCATCATGTACGTGAACTCTCTTCCCCAAATCCCCTTCTCCACCCCCACAATGTGCTTTCAAAGCTAAAAAAGAAGCCACTTCCTGTTCTTTAGAGGCAGACATGAGCTGATGAGAGTGGAGGCCAAGGAGGGGGCCCTGGCTCTGGCTTTGCAGAGACACCAGCGCTGAGCTTTCCTCTTGAAAGGGCCGTGATCTTATGGAAGTTGAGTTGCTAATGGGAAAAGCTGAAGAGGCCACTGATTTTAGTGAAAAAGCATTAGCCTGGGAGTCAGGAGATCTGGGTTCCAGTTCAGACTCTGACTCTCACCAGTGTGTGACCTTGGGCAAGTCCTTTCACCTTGGGTCTCAGTTTTCCTTATCTGTAAAATAAGCAAGTTTGACATTCCTTAAGGCTCCACAAAATTAAGGTGTAGTCAGATTTTGGTCTACGTGGACTGCTTCTTGGACAGAATTATATGCAGATTTATTCCTTCTTTCAGTGTGTTTTGTCCCAGGGTTTATAGGCTGGTAGCTGAAGAGACAGGGAGTTCTTTCTGAAGGTTCCTTATTTGTTGGGATTCTTTACTCCTTGGTAGTTTCATTGGGATTGGAGGAGAGGGAGAAATCAGGAGAAAGTAGCAGAAGGGAAGGGGTTATCATAGGAAAGGCAACAGGAAATGACAATAGAAGAGGTTACTGTCAAATCCCTCTTATCAAAGATTAGTCTTTCTTCTGGTAAAAATAATCCAAGTAAAAAGGTCATTCAAGATTAGCATGGAATGAGTTTTATAAAACATTAGCTGATGAGAAGGCAATAAAAGCAATAAGGAGTCCCAGGAAAAAGACTAGGCTTGTAGTTAGATAACCTGGGTTTAAATTTTGGCTTTATGCTTCCTAGTTTTACAAACCTTGGGAACTTACCCAACTTCCCTGAGTCTCAGCATCCTCGTCTATAAAATGGGCATAATATAATGCCTCACTTGTTATGAAGATGATGGATGTGAAAGTGCCTGGAACATAGTATAAGCTCAAACTTTTTAAAAAAAATTTCCCCTCCCCTTTAATTCTGTTTTATGCTGGAACATGCCAGTTGATTTCTGATTTTGAAGTTTTTGTCTTCAGCATTACTATCTACCTGCACTACCACTAAGAAAGAGCAGAGCTCCTGCCAAAATCCAGCCCAGCCTTTGTGGTGGCACATTAAATTTATGCCACCAATTGTATCTACTGTTTCCCTTCCTAGACCTTTCAGATTCTAAGGATGGAGGCTGGCTGTTAATCATCTTTGTATCGCTGGTGCCTGGCACCAAGTAGTCACTCAATAAAAAACATTGTTGGATAAATGAGAAGCACATGGAATTGGTTACTTTTAGTTTTTGTAACAACAATAAGAATAGTGAGAAATAGCCTCTTGTATTTGTATTTCATTTTGGCTTGCAAATAATTTTGCATGTATTCACTTCATGTCATCCTGACCAGAAACCCATGAGCAAGGTTATACCCAAGACCCTCTGTAACACTATTTCATGGTTGGGGGAAATCAGAGGCCCAGAAAAGAGGTAGAGCTTATACAATTGATGTCCAGCTGTGGCAACAGAACCAAGACTCAAGCCAATGATTCCTAGCCTAGCCCAAGTGGCTAATGTCAACTAGAAAATTTGTTAGCTCTCTGCCAAAGACAAAAAATAATAATAATAATACAGAGAAAAAAAGAAAATTTGTTAGAGAGCCTACTGTGTGTATTGCACAAGCCAGGCACTCAGGAAAGAGGAAGCATTTAGACCCAATCCAAGGATAGACTCCACATCTACCTGTTGAAAGTCTGCTCCTCCTGCAGTGCCTACCTCATGGCAGTCCCCTTTGTGGAGCTTTTGCGGCCCCCCTGGAAGTGAGCCCAGCCTCTAAATTCCTACGGTACTTAATTTTTTTTTATTTTTAATTGTTATGGCTATGTAATAGTTGTGTATCTTTATAGGGTACATGTGATGTTTTGATACAGGCATAAAATGTGAATTAATCAAGTCAGGGTAATTGGGGACTCCATCACCTCAGGTATTTAACATTTCTTTGTGTTAGGAGCATTCCAATTCCACTCTTTTAGTTAAAGTATACACTAATTTATTGTTGATTATAGTCACTTTGTTGTGCTATCAAATATTGTTCATTCTATCTAACTCTCTAATTGTATTTTCTCACCCATTAACCATCCCCACTTAATCCCCCCTCCCACTACCCTTCCCAGCCTCTGATAATCATCGTTCTACTCTCTGTATCCATGAGATCAATTGTTTTTTTTGTTTGTTTGTTTGTTTTTTGAGACAGAGTCTGGCTCTGTTGCCTGGGCTAGAGTGCCGTGACATCAGCCTAGCTCACAGCAACCTCAAACTCCTGGGCTCAAGCAATCCTCCTGCCTCAGCCTCCCAAGTAGCTGGGACTACAGGCATGTGCCACCATGCCCGGCTAATTTTTTCTATATATATATATTTTTTTAGTTGTCCAGATCATTTCTTTCTATTTTTCAGTAGAGACAGGGTCTCGCTC